CCACCGCATCCACATATTCAGCTAAACCTTGAAAAGCAGTTGTCACATTCATACGAAAGCCCTCATGTTTCTGTAATAATTCTTGTTGTTGCTGTATTACTTGATCAAACTTATTTTCCATTTTATCATCCATTTTTTGTAACATCACTGTCATTTGCTTAATACTTTCAGCCATTAAATCCTGTAATTCTTTACCAGAAGGCGGTGGAGGTGAAGAAGATGGCGGGGGTGGCGGGTGGGAAGCCGGCTTAGAAGTTGGTTGAGGCGGCTGGGAAATCGGAGATGTAATTGACTTTGAAGTTGTGGGCGCCACTCTTCTTAAAGCCATATTAGCAATTTAAAATTTCAATTTATGTAAAAGTCTTTTAAACAACTAATCCAAAACGAATAATGAGAGTATTAAAAGTAGCAAAAGTTCCAGACCGGAAATCCAAATCACTTTCACTTCTTCTTGCTAAAAAGTATCATTCCATCGCCATTTTAAATCCACTTTCACACAATCCACCCCAAGTATAGGGAAGATCAGAGTATCCAAAGTTAGAGTAAAATCCAAAATAGGAAACAAACTTCCAGGGTCGGTTTGTCTGCATATAATAACTCACAGTTCAATTTAAGTTGCAGCGGTGGCGGCGGCTTCTAGCTTCTCCAAAGCGAAGGCGTCCTGGATCGCGGAGAATCCTCGGGGCTCCGGAGGAGTTCTAACCTACATCGTCCACATAGGACGACTCGGGAACTCAACTCCTACCCCGGGCAGCTCACCGATCCCCTTATGCCCGGGGGAAAGGTATCAAGCCATTTGACAGCTGATGCTTGCTGTCAAAACGGCTTTTACACGAAACAGGCGGGAGGCAGCTGTCGGCTGCGTCCGACGAGGTCGCCTGCACACCGGAAGTCGTAAACTTTGACATTCTAAACTTTAACGAAAACTTCAGAAAATATTTGAGGGAGGGAAAATTGTGTAATTAAAATGGGGCAGTTGTAAATGATAGGCTTTGTAGTCCAAACTAAATTTAATTGCACTTAGTTCCCATTGAGATCAGATTTAAAAAATAACCATAGGTGAAGTATAATTAAGTTCAGTGAGTCCTACATATGACTGGTTTAGTTCTAGAAGCAACTCATAGAGTCCATTTATTTCACCAAAATGTTACTTTCCTTTTAAAATTGTATTAGGTGATTGTTGACAAGCTGTTATATCTTCTCTATGAATACTTATGGGCATATGAAGAATCAGGTTAGCTTATCATTAATAGCTTCATACAGAAGGACAAATTGTGGAGAAATGCAGCATATCTGGGAGCTCTTTTTTGTCATTTCATGCAATTCTTTTCTGCTACAATCTTTGTTAGAGGATAGTAGTTGAGCTTATTAGCTATCTAATGCTTGGCATCATTGTAACTAATCCTTTGCCCTTCTCTAGCTTGCACTTCAGACTGGGCGGGAACCACCTCCAATCTGGCGAGTACAGAAAGCTTTGCTTCAAAAGTTTACACCAGAAATCAAGGATGGCCAGCGTCAGTTCTGTGCAACCAGCAATGTGAGTGACCATACCATCTGTTTAAATACTATCATACTCTCAGGGAAGCCAGAACTTCAGAGATGAGGGATCTCACCAACATGATAGATATGAAATCAGCAAATTATATTCAAGTATTTAAGGTCTGTTCCTATTCCTCCTTTTACTCCCACCCCCCCTTCAATATGATTCTACCATAAAGGTAGCACAGGGTTAAACCAAGTATAGAGATAGTTATTTTCTTTTGTTAGCCTTTTAATCAAAGAACTACCCCCCCCCCCCTTTTGCGCTTGGGATAGTCCAATTGAGCAATTAGCTTGATCTATTATTGTGTTGGGCAAAGGATTGCAATTTCAGTTCCATTTGTTCCCTCATTACTTCTGGAAGAAGAAAAGTTACAAATGGGATAGTGTCCCCTCCCTTTTCTTTCTGTATTCAATTTATTCTTTTCCTGCTTCACCCCTCAGTATCTGGGCTATTTTGGTGATGCCAAGAACCGTTACCAACGACTCTATGTTAAATTCTTGGAGAATATCAACAAGAAAGATTATGTCCGTGTGTGTTCTAAGAAACCTTGGCACCGGCCTCTGCAAGCTGTCAGGTAAAGGATTAGGAAGGTGGGTACATGTAAGAGAGTCCAGTTCTAGCTGAGGAACAGTAATACCTCTGGGTAATTGCTTTCTTATGCAGATTTCATTCTAGAGTAGCTGTTTTTAAATTGTTCTTTTCTCCAGAATTGCCTTGGGACATACATACAGTACATACATGCATTTCTTTCATTTCCCTATCCCTCCAATTCAATTCAAAACTCCCCTTAGGGGTTGCTCTTTGCCTTCTGTTTTTTCATTCTCAGTTACGTCACCTCACACATGAGGGTGATTGGCTCCTGTCACTGCCCTTTCACTCTTCCAGCTTAAGGGATGCAGAGCTCAGCCTCTTTATTCTGTTCTGCTTAATCGTGGAGCAGCTTCTAAGGTCAAGGGTGCCTTTACTTCCCTCACCGGCTCTTGCTTTTCTGGGCATCCTTTCCCTTGGGTTGCCCATCACTGCCTCTGATTCATCTTGAACTATTAGCAATAGCAATAGCACTTAGACTTATATACCACCCCAGCACTCTCTGGGCAGTTTACAATGTCAGCATATTGCCCCCAACAATCTGGGTCCTTATTTTACCGACCTCAGAAGGAGGAAAGGCTGAGTCAACCTCGAGCCCCATCAGGATCAAATTCCAGGCTGTGGGCAGTTTGCCTGCAATACTGCATTCTAACCACCACCAGGGCGTTCTACAAATTACATTGTGGACTGCCTGAACTTTTGTTGTGCTTGCTTGGCTATTGGGATATAAGGATTCCCAAGGCCTCACTGTTTCACTGATTTTTCCATTATGGCTTTCTTTGCGCTCACTCTCCTGCTGCAGTAAACCTGACCTCTCAAGTCAGCTCCCTCCTTTCACAGCCCAAGGCACATGGTTTTGGCTCTCAGTGCTCTGTTTTTCTGGTACAGGAGACAAAGTCAGCCCAAGGCTTCTACCCCCAAGGTTCCAGTGACACCCAAAGTTGAAAAACCTGAGAAGCTGGAAGTCCCAGGGAGAGCTGAGAAACCCCAAAAGCCTATTAAGGTTGAGAAGCTCCCCAAGGCTGAAAAAATGGACAAAACAGAGAATCTTCCCAAAGTGGAGAAAGGACCTAAGCCAGAAAAGCCCCCCAAGGCAGAGAAATTAGCCAAGGCAGAAAAGCCCCCCAGAGTGGAAAAAGCAGACCCTCCTGTGACCATGCTCATGAAAGATGCCCCAGGCAGCGGAACTTCTAAACCCAAGCCAAAGCCGGCCAAGGTGAAAGCTAAGCCACCCCCCAAGAAGAGGAAAAAATGGCTCAAGGAAGCATCTTCTTCAGACTCGGATTCTAGCCCTGACCAGCAGAGTGAGGAGGGTGAGTAGAAGGGTGAAGAAATTCCACCCATGTGGTGGGCATCAGAAACAGGCAGTTTTAAAAGGATACCAAGGACCTCTGTAGTCTTGGGAAGGGAAGAAATGTGGCAGGACTACTGATCCAAAGGCAGGCGTCACACATTATACCAGTGTTTTTCAATCTTGGCAACTTAAAAATGTGTGGACTTCAACTCCAGCAGGCTGGCTGGGGAATTCTGGGAGTTCAAGTCCATACATCTTAAAGTTGCCAAGGTTGAGAAACACTGCATTACACTGTTATGTGCTTGTTGGTAGTTTGGTGTGTTGTATGAACCTAGCCATTGGGGTTTATTTAACAGATCATACTGTGGCTCACTGCTGTATGTTTCAACTAGATCAAGGAGAAACTGTGATTTTACAAAGGTGGGGAATCTGGAGCTCCACATGATCCGGATTAGAAATCCCAGCAGTTCCAGCCCACAGGGAGAAGAGAAAAGAATCCTGGGAGTTGTGATCCAGCCATTTTGAAATGCCACTGGTTCTCTGAAAAGCCATAAGAGCTAGACTGAGAGAAATTATAGAAGGCTGACAATAGGGAATAGAAAGAAGAAGCCCTATCTACAGGGGGGCTTTTAAAGTGTAAGATTAGAAGAAACTTCAGATGAGTCAAGGAGAGAGCAAGACTGGTCTCTCTCTCTTCTTCCCTCTAACTTTTGGTTGTATGTATAATCAGCATTTCTCAACCTTGACAACTTTAAGATATGTAGCCTTCCACTCCCAGAATTCTCCAACCAGCATACTAGCTGGGGAATTCTGGAAGATGAAGTCCACACATATTAAAGTTGTCAAAGCTGAGAAACACTGGTATAAACCTACTATGTATTGCATTTGTTTGTTAACCTGTATTGAACCTTTTTGAAAAGCAGGGCTACAACTGTCTTCCATAATAAAATAATGCTCCATTTTCCATTCAGAACATGTCCCCACAGGTCGCATTCTCAATACACGAGCTATGAAGGAGATGTACCGCAGTTACGTGGAAATGCTGGTCAGCACTGCCCTTGATCCAGACATGATCCAAGCTCTTGAGGATACAAACGGTGAGCATTCTTGTGTACAGGTGCTTAGATGGGCTCATAGGCCAGTATGAAAAGCCACTGGCTTTTGTGTCCATGGGCCATTCTTCGGGAACCATGTAGCCCTCCTGTTTGCTTTCTGCTTTCTCTGATCACTCATATTTGCTTTATTGGGGTTGGCCTTCTGGAGATACAAAAGCTTTTTGTTCCGTAGGACTAGAGTAGAGTAGAGTAGAGTAGAGTAGAGTAGAGTAGAGTAGAGTAGAGTAGAGTAGAATAGAGTAGAGTAGAATAGAATAGAATAGAATAGAATAGAATAGAATAGAATAGTTGGAAGGGACCTTGCAGGTCTTCTAGTCCAACCCCCTGCTCAGACAGGAAACCCTATACCATTTCAGACAAATGGTTGTCCAATATCTTCTTAAAAACAATTTCTGGAGGCAAGTTGTTCCACTGATTAATTGTTCTGTCAGAAAATGTCTTCTTAGTTTTAGGTTGCTTCTCTCCTTGATTAGTTTCCATCCATTGCTTCTTGTCCTGCCCTCAGGTGCTTTGGAGAATAGCTTGACTCCCTCTTCTTTGTGGCAACCCCTGAGATATTGGAACACTGCTATCATGACACCCCTAGTCCTTCTTTTCATTAAACTAGACATACCCAATTCCAGCAACCGTTCCTTATATGTTTTAGCCTCCAGTCCCCTGATCATCTTTGTTGCTCTTCTCTGAACTCTTTCTGGAGTCTCAACATCTTTTTTACATCGTGGTGACCAAAACTGGATGCAGTATTCCAAGTGTGGCCTTACCAAGGCATTGTAAAGTGGTATTAACACTTCACATGATCTTGATTCTATCCCTCTGTTAATGCAGCCTAGAACTGTGTTGACTTTTTGGCACCTGCAGCACACTGCTGGCTCATATTTAAGTGATTGTCCACTAGGACTCCGAGATCCCTCTCACAGTTAACTACTACTGAGCCAGGTACCACCTATACTGTACCTGTGCATTTGGTTTTTCTTGCCTAAATGTAGAACCTTACTTTTTTCACCATTGAATTTCATTTTATTAGATAGTGCCCAATGTTCAAGTCTGTCCAGATCCTTCTGTATCTTAAGCCTATCTTCTGGAGTGTTGGCTATTCCTGCCAGCTTGGTGTCGTCTGCAATTTGATGAGTTCCCCATCTATCCCCTCATCCAAATCATTGATGAAGATGTTGAAGAACACTGGGCCTAGAACAGAGCCCTGGGGCACCCCACTACACGCTTCCCTCCATGTAGATGCAGTTCCATTGAGGACCACATGCTGATTACAGCTGGTCAGCCAGCTACAAATCCATCTGGTGGTGATGCTGTCTAACCCACATTTGTGGTCTACTTTATCAAATGCCTTACTGAAGTCCAAGTAAATTATATCCACAGCATTTCTCTGGTCCACTAATTTTGTCACCTGGTCAAAGAATGCAATAAGATTTGTCTGGCATGATTTGTTTTTGACAAACCCATGTTGGCTTTTGGTTATGACTTAGTTTGCCTCTAGGTGTTCACTGATTTGTTGCTTGATTATCTTTTCCAAGATCTTTCCAGGTATTGAGGTCAGGCTGATAAGTCTGTAGTTTCCTGGATCTATTTTTTTCCCTTTTTTGAAGATGGGAACTACATCAGCTCTTTTCCAGTTTTCTGGTAGTTCCCCAGTGCTCCAGGATCTTTGAAAGATATAGTTCAGTGGTTCTGAGATCACGTCTGCCAGTTCCTTCAGAACCTTGGGGTGTAATCCATCTGGTCCTGGTGATTTGACCTCGTCTAGGGTGAACAGGTGCTCACTTACCATTTTCTTGCCTATTTTAAATTGTGTTTCTAATCTGTTTTTTACGGTACTGTTTTTGATAGGTTGGACTGTTTTTTCCCTTTGTATAAAAGCGAATGCAAAAAATTAGTCAAGTAGTTCTGCTTTCTCCCTGTTGCTTGTCACCTTCTTGCCACTTTCTCCCACTAATGGACCAAGCGTTTCCTTGACTTTTCTTGTTTTTTACATGTTGAAAGAAGCTTTTTTTGTGTCATTTTTGACTTTTGTCGCAAGTCTTAGTTCATATTTGAGCCTTAGCTTTCCTCACTTAATCTTTGCAGGCTCGGACTATCTGCTGATATTCTGCCTTAGTTATGTGCCCCTCTTTCCACTTTTTATACTTGTCCTTTTTGTCTTTCAATTTATCAGAGAGTTCTTTATGCAGCCGTGCTGGTTTCTTTTGAGAGCTGTTATTTTTCTTCTTCATTGGTATTGTGCTAGACTGGGCTTTTATAATTCCACTTTTCAAAATTTCCCAAGCTTCTTGAGTTGTTTTCCCTTTGAGGATTCTCATCCATGGAATCCTTCCCAAGCTCTCTCTAAGTTTATTGAAATTAGCTCTCTTAAATTCCAAGACTCTAGTTTGACTATGTTCTATTGCTTGTGCTTGCATAAAGTTGAATTCCAATATTGCATGATCACTCCCCCCCAAGGTTCCTGTTAGTTCAACACCTTCTATCATTTCATCTCTGTTAGTGAGAATTAAGTCCAATATGGCTGATCCCCTAGTTCCCTTCTCTACTTTTTGGGAGACAAAGTTGTCTGCTAGGTTTGTCAGGAATCTGTTTGATCTTCCACTTGGTGCAGAGTTTGTCTCCCAGTTGATGTCAGGGTAATTAAAGACCCCCATTACTATTGTGATGTGCTTCCTACATACCTTAGTTAACTGACTAGGAAAAAGTTCATCTATTTCCTCTGGTTGGTTGGGTGGCCTATAGTATACACCTATTGCAATGTCATTTTTCCCCCTTTTATATTGACCCAAATGCATTCAAGACAGTTTTCATGATTGTTGTGCTCTATTTCTGTAGAGATGTAGATATTTCTTATATATAGTGCAACTCCACCTCCTCTTTTATTTGGTCTGTTTCTTTTAAATGATTTAAATCCCTCTAACTGTATGTTCCATTTGTGGGTTTCATCCCACCAAGTTTCCGTAATGGCAACAATATCATATCTACCCTCATTTACTTGAATTTCTAACTCACCCTGTTTATTGCTGATACTCTATGCATTGGTATATAGATATCTGAGTCCTTTTTGACTGACCCTTTGTTAACAGGTAGTCCTTGAGTTACGAATGTTCACTTAGCGAATGTTCAAAGTTGCAACATCCCCACCAAAAGTAGTTACGACCAGGTTCCAAAGTTACGTTTGTTGCAACTTTACAGCGGTCGTTCGCGCTTAAGAACAACCGTAGAGACGCTGCAACATGCTACTTTAGTACCATGCCTGAAAGTCCCGAACTGCCCACGCTCACCTCCTGCGCAGCCTTGGGTGCCGGAGCCCTTGTTCAGCCAAGCAGAGAAGCCTGGTGGCTGAACGCACTGCTCTTGTCCCTGCAATAGGCCCCCCATGGCCTTCCCCACCCTGAGATACCTCGTGTGCACTTAATGACCCACACATTTGATTAGCGAATGTGTGGGCCAAAGCACGAAGTGATCACGTTCAAGTTACGCCATTCACTCCTACGAATTCTCAGGTTACGAATGTAATTGGCAGGTTCCATTACATTCGTAACTCAAGGACTACCTGTACTTTCTACTTCTATATACTTCTATACTTGCTTAGGAAATTCCTGGGGCCAGAACAGACTGAATATATACATTCTTGTTCTATGTTGCCATAGTAAGAACTATAAACATGCTATTTTTAAAAAAAATGTATAGACATCTCCACATTCTTCCTAAGATGCCTGATTTTGCAAAATGCACTATAAATCCCCCAACTTTGATCTCTTGTGACTAGAGAACACCACTGAATGTTTCAATGTACTCCTTTGTAGCAGTCATTTGTATTAGACAAAGCTATGAAGGACTGGTTGGAGGAGAGGTTCTCAAACTTTGCAATCCCGCAGCCCTTTAAAATTATCAGTGAAATTCTGCATAAAACTAAATAAAAACTAAATAATAAATAAAACTCTAATTGTTATTGGCAGATATTTTTGACAGATGTCAAGACCCATGGGTTTAACCATTGTTCAGAGTGCTCTCTGGATTTTGTTTGTTGTTTTGCATATGTAAACTTGCTGTAGGCTTCTCCCAGTAAAGCAGGAATGAGCTTGTTAAGTGGGTCAGTTTTGCCTGCCTAAGCCCAATGAACTCCCCTCCCCCAGAAAAGTGTGCCTCCTCTAAATTGTTTTCTTAGGGGACCCACCATTTGAGAACACCTGGAGTAGAGTGGTCCTTAAGCAAGCGCTTATTTCTAACACATAGCATTTGAGAAATCTGGTCTTGCCTAAAAATTCCAGCCTCTTCAAAAAAGAAATGTGGCCTTGGAAACCTTGTTATGTTCCTTTCACTTGCTTGTCTAGAATTCAGTCCACTGCAGCCAGGTTTCCTTAGTGCAGGACACTGGCTGCCCATGTCCTGCATTGCGGGTTTCCTGTCTGCCCATCCTGGATGTTTTTTTTGGGGGGGGGTTTGTGACCTTTGCCATCTGTTTTGACAATCCTATCCCAGATGAACTGTATCTCCCGCCCATGAGGAAAATTGATGGAATTTTGAACGATCATAAGAAAAAGGTGCTGAAGAGAATGTCACTGAATCCATCACTACAGGTACGGAAAGAGGGCAAGTAGAATATGCTATTTCCCCACAGACTGATTTTGGAAAAGGGTATTTATTCTAAGTATAGACTTTACTTTGTTGCCCAGATTTGGCTCAAGTGTTTTCTTCCCATTCACCTTCACAGCAACAGTTGGGGAGAAAGGAGAGGCCTTGAAGACCAGAAGGTTTATAACACATAGTTTAGATAGGCTAAGAATCCAAACCTTAACTCCATGTTGTCTTGGATGTTTCAGTTCCTCTAGCCATGTATCATGCTTGTAAATGGCTCTGCACTGTCACCTTTCAATTCATGAGTCAGCAGCTTTTTCATATGGGGTTGGTATTAATCATATATGGTGGCAGAAATGCCAAAAATTTAAATTGGCATTTTAAAAGAAATGAGAGTGAAATTTCGCTTGATCCCCACATTGCACAAGGTTTCAGTGACCCTATTCCTAAGGCCTCATAAAATCTAAGTCAAAATGCTGAAATTTATCTCATGAGTTTTAGCCATGCCCCTTTTTTTTTTGGTTGGGGGGGGTATTTTATTTTTGAAGATCTATGGGTGGTATTTAGAAGTATCTGGCCACTTGTTTATCATTTTCTACTTATACCGGTAGTGTACTCTTAACCCCAGAGTTTTTTTGCAAAATCTTCACCATAAACAGGAGAGCTTGATAGTTCCTTTTTTTCCTGTGTTAGCAATATACTGTGAAAGCAGCTTTAACTTTGCATGTATCATATTGGGAAGAGGATTTATACAGGTAGTCCTTGTTTAGCAAATGCCTCATTTAGCGACCATTCACAATTACAACAGTTATGAAAAAGTAACTTTACAGCCAATTATTGCATTTGTGACCTTTGAAAGTCTGTAAAGCAAAGGAAAGCTCAAATAATATAATCAAAGTCAAGGTTTCACTTAGCAACTGTTCTGCTTAATGGCCAAGTTGCCAGTCCCAATTTTGGTTGCTAAACAAGGGCTACCTGTATGCCTTGTTGGAATGATCAGACAAGTCAAATGAAAGGGCCGTTTTTCTATATTTTAAAATGAGGCATCCTGCTCCCAGCTGAGAAAAGCCATTTCCTCCCCATCCTGCTTAAAAACAGTTTGTGAAATAAAAATAAATAATATCTTCAAATACAGGGGGGAAACTGAGGTTTCTTTGGTGTCACAATGCCCAGGCTCTAGACATGCAGTACATGTTGGACCAAGAGTATGGAAGAATCACCTCATTTTCAGGACCTTGTACTATTGGTGTCTGCTTGAATAGTCTGTAGTTCAATTTTTCTAATCAATGAGAATCCTGTTAAGTAGTGATGTTGTTGTCTGTTTCAAGGAAAGAAGTAGTCTGGTCCTACTTATATACAGGGGTAGTTCTCCCCTAGACCACCTCCTACCTCTAATCTGTTGTCTCTGGTGTCTTTTCAGTGGCTATACCCAACTTTATTATTTCAGGATGTCCCCATCTCTCTATATATTTAAATATCTGATTTGTCTAGTCCCTAACTTCTTGGGATCTTTGTAACAACAGAAAGTGGAATGAATTGACCCAACAACTGGAGGTTGTAAAGAAGCTGCTTCTTCTCACATTTACTTTCTTCCCCATCCAGGAGGCACTCCACATGTTCCCCCAACTCCATGCTGAGACATGTGATACAACAGTTAAGTTGCGCTCAGGTGGTGATCCTTACAACCGCAAGACTCTCAACAAACTCAAGAAGAATGTATCCAAACCACAGGTAAGTGTTGCGGTTGAAGGTGGTGCCCAGGATCTGTGGTAAACTTATTCATTTACACTAATTACTCTTATTTTTCTTTTCCACCAGAGAGCTCAAGGTAAGAATAGTTGTGCTCCTACTCAGCTTCTGTTTTATGCTCACATACAGTGAGGGAAAAAATTATTTGATCCCCTGCTGATTTTGTACGTTTGCCCACTGACAAAGAAATGATCAGTCTATAACAGTGGTGGCGAACCTATGGCACGCGTGCCAGAGGCGGCACTCAGAGCCCTCTCTGTGGGCACGTGCACCATGCTCCGGAGATGGCAACCGTCCCTCTTCAACCAGCCGCCTGCTAACTCGCCGAGGTCCCACGTGGCTGCATGCATCCCAGCACGGCTGGTTTCCCTCCCTCCCCCCCATCCCATCCCTCCTGGCCTCGCATGCTCTCTTTTTCCCAGGCATGACCCACTGCATCACTTCCTCAGCTGTTGGCGGGCCATCCAGCTGAGAGGCAGCTTCTCTGAACTGCTGGTGTCGGGCTGTGGAGCCTCAGAGTGCGCCAGTTGAGGGGCCGGCAGGCTGTGGCTGCTGACGGACACTGTCGGCCCCCATGCGCTCGCTGGCCTCTGTGTGCGGGGGCCCATGGTATCAGGCAGCAGCTGCCCCGGCCCCTGCCTCGCCTTGCCCTGCAACAATGGCACCCCCGCTCTACCTCGCCTCACCTTGCCTCACCCTGCAGGACGAGCCTCCTGCCCACTGCCCCACCTGCCAGAGACCCCCTGGATCTCCCCCAACCCTGCCTGGCCCCCACAGGCGTCCCTCCCCACGAGCAACATCGAGGTGACCACGCCCATCTTGGCCATACCCACCCAGTCTGCCATGACCACCACAGCCACACCCACCTGGCACCCAGCGATAAATAAGTGGGGTTTGGGTTGCAGTTTGGGCACTCGGTCTCTAAAAGGTTCGCCATCACTGGTCTATAATTTTAATGGTAGGTTTATTTTAACAGTGAGAGACAGAATAACAAAAAAATCCAGAAAAATGCATTTCAAAAAAGTTATAAATTGATTTGCATTTTAATGAGTGAAATAAGTATTTGACCCCTTCGCAAAACATGACTTAGTACTTGGTGGCAAAACCCTTGTTGGCAATCACAGAGGTCAGACGTTTCTTGTAGTTGGCCACCAGGTTTGCACATATCTCAGGAGGGATTTTGTCCCACTCCTCCTCGCAGATCCTCTCCAAGTCATTAAGGTTTCGAGACTGACGTTTGGCAGCTCGAACCTTCAGCTCCCTCCACAGATTTTCTATGGGATTAAGGTCTGGAGACTGGCTCGACCACTCCAGGACCTTAATGTGCTTCTTCTTGAGCCACTCCTTTGTTGCCTTGGCCGTGTGTTTTGGGTCATTGCCATGCTGGAATACCCATCCACAACCCATTTTCAATGCCCTAGCTGAGGGAAGGAGGTTCTCACCCAAGATTTGACGGTACATGGCCCCATCCATCGTCCCTTTGATGCGGTGAAGTTGTCCTGTCCCCTTAGCAGAAAAACACCCCCAAAGCATAATGTGTCCACCTCCATGTTTGACAGTGGGGATGGTGTTCTTGGGGTGATAGACAGCATTCCTCCTCCTCCTCCAAACACAGCGAGTTGAGTTGATGCCAAAGAGCTCGATTTTGGTCTCATCTGACCACAACACTTTCACCCAGTTCTCCTCTGAATCATTCAGATGTTCATTGGCAAACTTCAGACGGGCCTGTACATGTGCTTTCTTGAGCAGGGGGACCTTGCGGGCGCTGCAGAATTTCAGTCCTTCGCGGCGTAGTGTGTTACCAATTGTTTTCTTGGTAACTATGGTCCCAGCTGCCTTGAGATCATTGACAAGATTCTCCCATGTAGTTCTGGGCTGATTCCTCACCGTTCTCATGATCATTGAAACTCCACGAGGTGAGATCTTGCATGGAGCCCCAGACTGAGGGAGATTGACAGTTATTTTGTGTTTCTTCCATTTTCACACCAACTGTTGTCACCTTCTCACCAAGCTGCTTGGCGATAGTCTTGTAGCCCATTCCAGCCTTGTGTAGGTCTACAATCTTGCCCCTGACATCCTTGGACAGCTCTTTGGTTTTGGCCATGGTGGAGAGTTTGGAATCTGATTGATTGCTTCTGTGGACAGGTGTCTTTGATACAGGTAACAAACTGAGATTAGGAGCACTCCCTTTAAGAGAGTGCTCCTAATCTCAGCTCGTTACCTGTATAAACAACACCTGGGAGCCAGAAATCTTGCTGATTGATAGGGCAGGGCTTTTCAACCTTTTCACAGATTGTACCACTTTTAGGACATGACAATATTTGAGTACCACCAGTGCTTAGCAATGTGTCAAAAACTTGATGACTAAAAAAAGGGGGGGGATTTGGGGTTTTACTGATTAGATTAATTTGTTGTTATAGAAATGGCTAGTTTATAATATTATGGAAAAGTAAAAAGTTGAGGTTCAGTGTTAATGCTTCCTTCTACTGCAACAGATGAAGTCTGTTTTTTTCCCTTCTCCCCCTCACTTTTTTCCCCTTTTCCTCCCCACTGTATCCTATTTGCTTTTGTATTTTTGTATTTTATTCTATAATCTAATAAAATGTTACAAACTGTAGAAAAAAGTAAAAAAGTTTTAATTTCTTTGGTGGCTGTTCCTTTGCTGAATCACTTTCCGTTTGCACTGACAAATGTATGATGAATTTATCCATGTTTATTAATATGCACCACTACCAGCTAGCTCAGGGGTCTTCAAACCTGGCACTTTTAAGACTTGTGGACTTCAACTCCCAGAATTCCTCAGCCATCATGGCTGGATGAGGAATTCTGGGAGTTGAAGTCCGCAGGTCTTAAAGTTGCTAGGTTTGTAGACTGCTGAGCTAGCTGGTCGGCCCTTCTTCCTCTCTCCCTCTCCTCTTCTTCCTCCCTGCCTTCTGAGCTCTCTTCCACAGTGTAGTAAGAATGCACACACACCCCTCCATCCCTTCCCTATACCCTTAAAGACACAGAAATCAAGCGCAAAGCAAGAAAGGCTCACAAAAGCCTCCCAGAATAAAGAAACACTAAACTCCGGGGGTTTTTACTTTAAGCTGCCTCAGGCGTGTCTCAGTTTAAACAATGTAGCAAAGGCTCAGCAGTTGCAAAAAGTGATAACCTTAAATTAAGCCTGTTTACCTACAAAGAAAACTTGCTAAAAGCCATAGACAGACTCAAGATAAGGGGGTAAAACTAATTACATTTGTTTAAACTTAAAGGAATTAAACCTACAGAAGCCAACACTTTGGACTCATTGCTAGCCTTTGTGAAACAGACTAAAATATTCCAATAACCAAAGCACACAAATCGAGCCTCTGAATTACAAAATGCTGTAAAAACTGTATAAAAATCCTTATGGTAATTCATTCAAGCTGCCAGCTGATCAGGAACCCACTGGCTTCCGAAATAAACCCACCTCCTTTCCGACATGCTCATCTCCTGGCTTTTCATTTCATCAGCGCTGATTGCATTCTCCTATCTGGAGAAAATGAACCAGGGGACCTTTTCTTCCAGCAACAGCTGCTACTTCTTCCCTGTCCCTGTTTCCTCCCTGCCTGCTGAGCTCTCCTTCCACAGCTTCTTCTCCGTTCCCTTCTCTTTTCCTGTTGTCTTTTTTCCCCTTTCCCACCAAAACCACCTCCTTTTATATCCTCTCCTCTCCTCCCCTTTTTTCTTCAGTTCACCTCCAGCTCCGGAACCGCCAATCAGCTGGAGCCCTGCCAGAGTTCCTGGGGCTTCTGCTGAGCCCCGACAGCCCTGCAGCTCCAGCTGCCTCTCCCTCAGGCTTGGGTCGCTTCAGCTCATTCCCCTCCCCCGCTACACTTCTCTAGGATGGTCACGTACCACCTGCCACGTGCCAAAGTACCACAGGTGGTACGTGTACCACCGGTTGAAAAGCCCTGTGATAGGGGATCAAATACTTATTTCATGCATTAAAATGCAAATCAATTTATAACTTTTTTGAAATGCATTTTTCTGGATTTTTTTTGTTCTTATTCTGTCTCTCACTGTTAAAATAAACCTACCATTAAAATTATAGACTGATCATTTCTTTGTCAGTGGGCAAACGTACAAAATTAGCAGGGGATCAAATAATTTTTTCCCTCACTGTAAATGCCATTTTTAATATTTTCCCTTGGGAATTCTGAGTTTATAAAATATACAAACATTTGATATTGGGAATTTAAAACTTCCAGCATTAAGAACTGTAACTTCAGCAAGTATTTTACATTTTCAGTTTTGAAAATTTAATACAGATAGTCCTCACTTAACAACCCTAATTGGGACCAGAGTTTCCATCACTAAGCAAAATGGTTATTAGACGAAACATCATGTAACTGCACTACTTAGCGACAGCAGTTCCTGTAGTCTCGGTTGCCAACATTAGGTGAGAACCTCATGCTTCTCTTGCCCTGTCACACTCACCTCCGGTCCAGCTCCCCCCACCCACCTGTCTTTCCCCCCCATCTCTGGCCTTTTTACTGCCCTGCACTCCACCACCACTGCCTATCCCTGCTGTCCCCCACCAGCCCCAGCTGACCTTTGCTGTCTTCTTCCTCCCACTATTAATGAGGTGCACTCAGCTAAGACAGCATCTGGCCCTTTGTGAGACTGCCACAAGACTATGAGGCCTCTGGTCATGCCTCAGCAGCAGTGGGAGGAAGAAGGCAAAGGTCAGCTGAGAGCAGTGGGGAGCAGCAGGAATAGGTGGCAGTGGAGTGCAGGACGACCAAAAGGCCAGAGATTGGGGGGGGGGGGGAATTGGCAGGTGGGGGGAATTGAAGCACACACTGTGGTTGTAAAGGCAGGCAGGCTGCCAAGCACCCAAATGTTTAACATGTGACCAGAGAGGCATTGCAAGGGCTGTAGCCTCAAGGACTGGCCATTACTACCATTGGTTTGGCACCATTGTAACTTTGAATGGTTGTTGAAGAAAAGGGTCATTAAGTGAGGACTACCTGTATGTCTTTAAGGGAAGAAAATACTCAGATCTTGATAGTCTTAAGAAACCATTAGGATTTACAAATTTCTATTTATCAGCAATATCTCTGGATTTTTTTTCTCCCTGCTTTTTAAACTGTGGCTTGAAATGCACTTTGTCTTAAGAAAAAAGGGCAGAAGAAAGGAAAAGAGATATACTGTCTCTATTGCCATCAACAGCTGTGGAGATGAAAGGCTTAACCAATGTAGGACTTGTGAAGTAAACTATTGTAGATGGAAGGAAGAATGATATTAATAGATCTCTCAGCCAACAGATGTGGCAGTTATGGAAGTTCAAGCCTATCCCTTCAGGAGGAAATCAGTTTTTGAAAGCTGTGTAGTAGATTTTGGCAGGAAAGGGGAGTAAAAGAAAGTAAGAGTGGAAGCTTAGTGATGGACATGAAAGTGAGGGGTAAGAAAATCTACCTTTTCATTTCATATTTTTGAATACTCCATTCCACTGTGTGCACGCTCATTTATGTTTTCTCTTTTAACTTGGAGGAAAAAATCTCTTTTGTAAATTATAAAATGGACTTTACAATGGCATCTTTCATCCCCACCTCCACATCTGGCATTCTGATACAGCATTGTCAATCGAACACCTGATTCTGTGGTTTCATTCCTGCACCTCATTCTCCTGCATGGATAGACCAGGCCCATTGATTGCCCTAATTGAAATTCCAGATATTAAGGTGGGGATGGGTCCGTGTAACAGGAAGGAAAGAGTTTTAACTTTGTTAAACAGTTTAACAAAGGCTGAAATGAGAAGATGAGGGCAGGTGAAAACTTCCTAGGTTTTTTTTAAATTAATCACTGAGAGGGAATATTGAATATAAGACTTTAGAAGTTCATGGCTGTTGTAAAGTTGTATGGAAATGTAACATGCAGTGGTTTCCCTTCACTCTTTGTCCTTATTGCTGACAGGAATTCAATGTGGAAGCAGAGAAGTCCCTTTTCTACACTCTCTACCATTCCCTTCACCACTACAAATACCACACCTTTCTGCGTTGTAAGGATGAGGTAAGTAAAGGTCCTGAGTAAACCCCATTTGGGTTTGCAGGTTGTTTGCTAGATTTATAACCTGTCTTTCATTCAGGAGCTCAAGGCAGTACGCATAGCATTGCTTCCTCTCATTTTTTTCCCACAACAACTTTGGGAGGTAGGTTTTGCTGAGGGAGAGTGAATGACCAAAAGTCATCCAGTGTGTTTCCATGGCTGAGGGTGGACTTGAACCTGCATCACTCCACCTGTGTCCTTCCCAAGGACCTGGGATAAATGTGTTAAAGATATTGCCACAGGATGTAAGGCAGGGGTCTTCAAACTTGGCCCTTTTATGACTTGTATGAGGAATTCTGGGAGTTGAAGTCCACAAGTCATAAAAGGGCCAAGTTTGAAGACCCCTGATGTAAGGTGTTCCAAGTGAAGCCGCCTTTTACAATTGACTGATACAGGTACAGGTAGTCCTCAACTTACAACTGTTCATTTAGTGACCATTCAAAGTTACAACAGCACTGAAAAAATTAATTTATGACCATTTTTCACGCATCCCCATGGTCACGTGATCAAAATTCAGATGCTTGGCAACTGACTCATATTTATGATGGTTGCAGTGTCCTGGGGTCATGTGATCACCATTGAGAAGCAAAGTCAGTGGGGAAGCCAGATTCACTTAACAACCATGTTACTAACTTAACAACTGCAGTGATTCACTTAACAACTGTAGCAAGAAAGGTCATAAAATGGGGCAAAATTCACTTAACTATCTCGCTTAGCAACAGAAATTTTGGGCTCAATTGTGGTCATAAGTTGAAGACTACCTGTATTTTGGGATTTTCTCCAGTTCTTCTACTATTATTATGTTTCATCGCACAATCAGCCAAATGTTTAGACTGGATTTGCCATTTTTGTCTACCTGTTGAGTTCCTTTCCAAGGACCTGGGATAGGCAGATGTGGATGTTTGATTGTATTACAGATATCCTTGCAGGATGGAAGCTGTTCCAAGTAAGGCTGCCTTTTGCAATTAACTGATGGTAAATTTCTCAATGCCAATGGTGTTCAAGTGGTGCTCCAGTTGTTTTGGGATAGCACCCAAGGCGCCTATGACTATTGGTACTACCTTTGCTTGCTTTAGCCGAAGTCATTCTATTTCTGTTTGCAGGTCTTTGTATTTTGTTATCTTCTCAAGGTCTTTCTGTTCTACTCTGCTGTCTCCAGGCACTGCCACCTCCACCATCCAGACTTCTTTGTCTTATCAACAATTGTTAAGTCTGGGGTGTTATGTGGCAGGTGCCTGTCTGTTTGAATTCTAAAGTCCCAGAGCAATTTAGCTTCTTCATTTTGTATTACTTTCTCTATTTTATGGTCCCACCAGTTCTTGCTTGCAAGCAAATGGTATTTCTTGCAGATCTTCCAATGCACCATTGTTGCTACTTTGTCATGCCATTGCTTGTAGTCAGTCTGTGTGATCTTCTTGCAGCAGCTTACCAGGTGGTCCACTGTTTCTTCAGCTTCTTTGCAGAGGCGGCACTTATTGTCTGTTGCTGTCATCTCAATTCTGGCTTTGTATGCATTTCTTCTTAAGGCTTGGTCTTGTGCAGCCAGAGTTAGTCCCTCAGTCTCTTTCTTCAACTTTCCTGTTCTTAGCCATTGCCAGGTCTTGTTATTTTATGCTTTCCCTGCTATTTTTTTAATGTACTGGCCATGTAGTGCTTTGTCTTCCCATGCCTCCATTCTGTTCTTCATTTCGTCCTTCTTGTAGGCCAGTTTGGTCTCTCCAGTAGTCAGTAAGCCTTCCTGATATACTAACTTCAGTGCATCTTCATCATTGTCCTTCATATATTAATAATAATAATAAAGTTGGAAGGGACCTTGGAGGTCATCTAGTCCAAGGCTTTTCAACCTTTTTACCGATTGTACCACTTTTAGGATATGGTAATATTCGAGTACCAACTAGCAAGGTGTCAAATACTTGATGACCAAAAAAAAAAACCTGTTCAAAGTTGCAATTGCACTGAAATGACTTATGACCATTTTTCACACTTATGACCATTGCAGCATGCCCAGGGTCATGTGATTTATATTTGGATGCTTGGCAACTGATTCATATTTATAATGGTCACAGTGTTCCAGGGTCATGGGATCCCCTTCTGCAACCTTTTGACAAGCAAAGTCAATGGCAGAGCTGCTGGTGGCCAAGTGCTAAGGCGGGACTTCCTTTCCTCCCTCCCTTCCCTGCCTCCCTTTTTCTCATTCCCATCTCCTTCTGAAGGAAGAATTTGAACACCGCCCCCCCCTATTTTCCCTCTTCCATATATTGATCAAACAAAGAAAGGCTTCCAGAGACAGAAAAGACAAGCTGCTGAGTGAACTAGCTTAAAAAGGCACATTCCCCTTTAAGAATTAGCTACTGGCTAGAAAGGAAAGGAGCGCAGCCTGTACTTAAGGAAGAAAAAAAAATGTAAGTACTGGCTTCCGGCTAAGGCAACCTCCCCAAATGGCTCCATTCATAAGTAAAGGAATGCTACAGGCAAAATCCATTCAGGAGAAAAATACTTCAAAATCCCTTACAGCAAAACTTACAGCTAACAACAGCAGAGCAATAGAAGCTAACAGGAGACATCAGCCAAATAGAAATTGCCAAACACTCCTTAAGAACACAAAGCCCTTATTGCACAAATCCCAGAACTTCAAAGTCCTAAAAGCACATAAGAATCCTTCCACTCTCCATCTCCTTCCCTCCTCCGTGCCTCACCTCCAGCCATTGCTGCCTTTTTTCATTCCTCTTGGAGGGCGACCCCTCTCTCTCCCCCCCCCCCNTGCATTTCTTGCCTGTTTGCTGCTGCCAGCACAGGTGGCTGCCACAGCAGTTGTAGATCGGCTCATGGCCAGCCTGCTTGATTTCCTCTCCCCCTCCCCTGCAGCTGACTCTGCCTCCTCCCAAGGCTGCTGCTTTTTTTCTCTCTCCCTCTCCTGCCCAAACTGCCTCCTTTTATAGGCTCTCCTGTCTCCGCCCCCTCCTCCTTTCTCATGGGGGAGGGTGAGTCAGAAGTGAGCCTGGGGCCTTTGCAGCTCCAGAGGACTCTCTCACTGTAAGTCCTTGCCTGCGCTGGCTCTTTCCCTCACCCACTACACTTGGCTAGGCAGGGCTGCGTGCCACCTGCCACTCATTAATGTACCACAAGTGGTACCACCCGTTGAAAAGCCCTGATCTAGTCCAACCCCCTGCTCAGGCAGGAAACCCTATACCATTTCAGACAAATGGCTGTCCAGTCTCTTAAAAACTTCCAGTGTTGGAGCATTCACAGCTTCTGGAGGCAGGTTGTTCCACTAATTAATTGTTCTAACTGTCAGGAAATTTCTCCTTAGTTCTAGATTGCTTCTCTCTTTGGTTAGTTTTCATCCATTGCTTCTTGTCCTGCCTTCAGGTGCTTTGGAGAATAGCTTTACTCCCTCTTCTTTGTGGCAGCCCCTGAGATATTGGAACACTGCTATCATGTCACCCCTAGTCCTTCTCTTCATTAAACTAGACATACCCAATTCCAGCAACCGTTCCTTATATGTTTTAGCCTCCAGTCCCCTGATCATCTTTGTTGCTCTTCTCTGAACTCTTTCTAGAGTCTCAACATCTTTTTTACATCGTGGTGACCAAAACTGGATGCAGTATTCCAAGTGTGGCCTTACCAAGGCATTGTAAAGTGGTATTAACACTTCACATGATCTTGATTCTATCCCTCTGTTAATGCAGCCTAGAACTGTGTTGGCTTTTTTGGCAGCTGCAGCACACTGCTGGCTCATATTTAAGTGATTGTCCACTAGGATTCCAAGATCCCTCTCACAGTTGCTACTATTGAGCAAGGTACCACCTATACTATACCTGTGCATTTGGTTTTTCTTGCCTAAATGTAGAACCTTACTTTTTTCACCATTGAATTTCATTTTATTAGATAGTGCCCAATGTTCAAGTCTGTCCAGATCCTTCTGTATCTTAAGCCTATCTTCTGGAGTGTTGGCTATTCCTGCCAGCTTGGTGTCGTCTGCAAATTTGATGAGTTCCCCATCTATCCTCTCATCCAAATCATTGATGAAGATGTTGAAGAGCACTGGGCCCAGAACAGAGCCCTGGGGCACCCCACTACACGCTTCCCTCCATGTAGATACAGTTCCATTGAGGACCACATGCTGAGTACAGCTGGTCAGCCAGCTACAAATCCATCTGGTGGTGATGCTGTCTAACCCACGTTTGTGGTCTACTTTATCAAATGCCTTACTGAAGTCCAAGTAAATTATATCTACAGCATTCCTCTGGTCCACTAATTTTGTCACCTAGTCAAAGAATGCAATAAGATTTGTCTGGCATGATCTGTTTTTGACAAACCCATGTTGGCTTTTGGTAATGACTTTGTTTGCCTCTAGGTGTTTGCTGATTCGTTGCTTGATTATCTTTTCCAAGATCTTCCCAGGTATTGAGGTCAGGCTGATAGGTCTGTAGTTTCCTGGATCCATTTCTTTTCCTTTTTTTGAAGATGGGAACTACTTCAGCTCTTTTCTAGTCCTCTGGTAGTTCCCCAGTGCTCCAGGATCTTTGAAAGATATAGTTCAGTGGTTCTGAGATCACATCTGCCGGTTCCTTCAGAACCTTGGGGTGTAATCCATCTGTTCCTGGTTATTTGACCTCGTCTAGGGTGGACAGGTGCTCACCATTTTCTTGCCTATCTTAACTTGTATTTCTAATCTGTTTTTTACGGTTCTGTTTTTGATAGGTTGGACTGTTTTTTCCCTTTGTGTAAATACGGATGCAAAAAACGAGTTAAGTAGTTCTGCTTTCTCCCTGTTGCTTGTCACCTTCTTGCCACTTTCTCCCACTAGTGGACCAATCATTTCGTTAACTTTTTTCTTGTTTTTTACATGTTGAAAGAAGCTTTTTTTGTTATTTTTGACTTCTGTTGCAAGCTTTAATTCATTTTGAGCCTTGGCTTTCCTCACTCCATCTTTGCAGGCTCGGGCTATTTGCTGATATTCT